TGCGCTGTACACAAATTACAATAGTTGGGTTCTCCTGAACGCTATAGCGTGGGCCTTTTCAAGGCGAAAGTGAATAGGTTTTATGTAGGTGTGTATGGTCTTCAGACATTGTGGAGTTTTGGCTGTAAGAATGTCGTCGTCGACGAGATGGGCAGATGATATCGCAAGCGTCGCGGGGCGATCCTGAATGAAACTAGCGCAGAACCGTGGGAAGTCACAAAAACTTGGAGGCTGATGATGTATGCTACCGTCGACCTTATCGTCATTTTGCATCGGGTGAATGTGCGACTGTTTCTGAGCACATACAACCCGAGTATCTATAAGGTGTGACTGTAGTCAGGCATGTTCCAGTCGAGCTCTTTTCATCATTGACCCTATCTTTGCTCCCGGGCTAGGTAGTAGTCAATAGCAAGGATGAATTCAAATACACATTTATTTTAAAAATAGAAAGAAAAATATATTACTTGTGTTATTTTTGTTTTTTTTTTAATTGTTCTATCAGTTATTATTTTGTTACTGTAACAAACATTATTACTGCAACGTCTTCACTCCCTTCTTCTCCTACGACAACTTACATATTTTAAGCAGCATACGAAAAAACAATTCCAGAAACCGGCACAGTCAAGCTCATTAACGCATCAGTAATACACGTTCCTCATAAAACAACACCGTGAAACATAAAACCATCATCTCGAACAATTAAAACAACGTCTTCGACTATTTTTACGATTATTGAAAACAAAAAGCATCGTCTTTATTCATCATGTCTGATGGCTAATTCGGGTACAGTCGACACGACAAGGTCGTACATTCGCCTCGGTTGAACCAACTAGGAGCATAGACCTCAGGTTTAGTGTAGAGCTTTAATATTTAGAACTTCATAAACACCGACGGCCCGATCAAGATTGCAAGTAACCGCTGGTTGTGAGTAGCACAAGACCAGTTGTCGTGGCAGCGTTAGGGGTTAGTTTATGCTCAGCAGTAGACGTCTTTGGGCTGAATGATGATAATGAATTCGCACTAGGACTTTGAGCAGCAATAAGCAGATACCAAATATCATACTTGTTACTTCTGCCTGGATAGGTACTATCGTTTTAAAGATAAAGATAAAGGTAGATTTATTCGTGGAAGTAGGTACAATAAATTAATTTCAATTAGGTCATAAATAATACATTACAGTGACACTACAACCATTCCTTGAGCGAGACCTTTAATATTATTTGTCACGACCTCCGCAGCCGAGTCGTTGTTTTCGATTTCCATAACACAAGTGCTTCAGTTACTTACCTCGGGATCAAAGCAATGTATAGGATGTTGCCTAATATTCATTTATTTATTTAATTGAAATAAAAATAACATAGTAGAAATCGTAAAGGAACCAACCACTTTAGGACAGCCCCAAGATTTCTCAATTGTCATAAATAGAATTTTATGTTTCTTGAATAACAAATGACTTAGTATCAACAAATCCAACGCAAGAACCCAAACCACGAGAGATTTATTAGAAAACACACTCATACAACCTATCGACACTTAAAAAAAAGAAAAGGCATAAAAAACAAATTATATTGTAAATCTTTTACTGGTGTACTTGGACAAAATTTATAAGCTGTCGACTAGACACCCAAGGCTCTGTTATTTGCCAAAATTACTATTTTTGCGCAAATGAACCAAAACATTTATATATTATTTTGTTTTTTACTAGTCCTGTAATGTTAGTTATTTGGTCTTTATTATATTTCTTCCACGAAATATTAATATGCATACATAATATATAGAATTGAAATATTCATTTGGAAAACATCTTCTAAAAGCTAAATTGACACAACAGACCAATACAAACTGGTCAAATAACATCACAACAACCAAACTACTGGACCTCTGCAAAAAAGACTTATTATTTCTATACTCGCCTGCTTACAAACAAGGACATATAACAGGTATCAATGAAGATTGGTCGAGAAACGAGCAAAAAGATTCAATGGTCATTGACTGTGCAACAGGTAATATTATTATAGAAGATATTCCGTAACAAATAATGGACAACTGTAATTTAGGAATGATTACATTTATTCATAATTTATTGAAACATTGTATCGGAATTTAAGATGACAGACAGTTAGGTATAGAGTGGAAGTGGTATACCAAAATTTAGATTTATAAGGTGTAAAATGTAATAAGCAGTGGTAAAACAGTGGGAGAACGGATGCTTCTCAATCGATTTCCCTTTGGTATGTACCTAAATAAGTCCTTAATGTCTAAGTTACGTACGTTTAAAAAGTTTAGTAGCAATATCTTTTGCTGAAACAACAAAACCTTTGACAAACGTATGAAGTCCCTAAAACGCATTAGCTAGCAAGGCGAACTAGGGTCTAAGCCCTCTTCTTAGAGAAGATCCTTGCTGAGCTGTGAGACCTTAGAATAATAACGCATAGAATAATAGTTTCATATCAAACGAACTGTCACAAGTGAGGCAAAAATCAAATTCATGTCGGCTAGTTTTAGTAGTAGGTTAATTTTCGGTTTTAGTGAATATTTATATAAAAATACAAGTTGAAACGCGTTACTTCCTTGTGGAATGTGATCTATTTTATGTTTGTCTGACGTATTTTTATACTCATGTACCGCACATTTCATCATTTTAGCTAAAATTCTGGAGCTGTTCGCGGTATCGTTGACCTTGAGCACTGAAGGCCCGCCAGCTCGTGTAGGCCCTTTGGGAGCGCTTCATTTTGCCTCACTTAGCGTGTGCGGGATAGGTTTCTATGCGTTATTATTCTAAGTGTGAGACATATAATGAATGATGAAAAATGTAATGTAATGACATTCTTTTCACCCTCCTTAGTAAATATAAAATGCAACACAAATACGAATGCATTACGAAATTATGGTCAATTTAAAAAACTTACAAAGCCGTAATAATAGAAACAAACAAATGACAATACTACAAAAGATAATTCAGAATTTCGTACCAACGACCGCAAATAGGAGTCGCTGAATGACAAAAGGCAATAAATAAGCAGAACAACAGAAGAAAAAGTTCCAACAAGCGAACAGGTTGTAACATGTTGGGGTCCTGTAGAATAACAAAGAGATATAGCGACCTTGTGCCGACCTAGAACAGGGTCAGTTCAACGGTCCGATGGATGGTTTGAAATGATCGATTTAATATAAGTTGTGCTGATTATATTTACGACCACAATACCTACATCCCTTCAGGCGTACGTGTATCATCAATTATCCTCTCCGGGAACAGCGTGGAACAAGTATCTTAAGGCTCGACATTTCAACGTTAGCCTAGATTTTAGGAGGTGAGGTGTGGAGGGGTCACCTCTCGCGTCAATCAATCAGCGAGGTGTATTGTAATGTAGATTATTTTAGGTGTTAATTAGGGCTTCAGTTAAAAATCAAAATTTACTAGATTCTCTGTAGTACATAAAGAGAAATAGCTCCATTGAAAAATTATGTACAAAGTTAGATATTTTATTCTTATATAGTTCGTTTTTGACTTGTATTTTAGCCTGTTCTCAGGATTTTATATGATTAGATAAAGTGCATCCTATCGCATAATTTTATTTTGATTTATGATATCGTGTAACACATTAGCACAATCTTTAAACAATATCACACGGGACTTATCACTTATGTTTCAGGGTGACGGGTGCAGTGGCAGTGCCTCGCAGATCTTTACGATTTAAAGCTCTGAGGGCACTGCAACTGGACAGGCGTGGAGCTTACCATCAGGCGCACGGCTTGCCCTTTCTGTCACTTGATGTTATAAAAGAAAAATCCTTGGGTGTATCCATTGACTTAGAAATAAATGGACGACGGGTCTAATACAAAAACCACGAAAAAATGTCCCAAGTCAACCTATTTAAACGTAGTGACATGTAAAGGAATATAAAAAAGCTAAAACGTTGAATTTAAATTGTAATGTCATCGCAGTACTGTCTAATTTTGCTTGCTTCGCTGTCAGTCGAACAAACGAAGACTAAAGCGTGAATGACGCTCTGTATACGATTTTAACGCCCTATAAGTTCGGACACTTTTTAGCGCGAACCCGACGTCCATATAATTGTAAGTCAATGGGTGTATCGTATATTTTTTGTAACACCATTATTTAATAGTAAATATCTAAACCATTTTGATCGAGCAAAACAGTTGTTCCCACTTCTCCTCCAATTACTCGCCTTAACCATTGAAATCCGTCGTCCTCTTTCTTTTTAACTTCTTTTTCATTCTTTCGCCCTCTTTTCCAACTGCAAATGACAACACTTTTGTGAATATTTTCAATCTTTTCAATCATCTTCATTATTTAAATTTAAGCTTATTTTATTCATAACAATGTCAAAACTAGTTAATAAATCAATAATACAACAAGTTCGTTATTCTTACTACATAATTGCTTCGCATGTTTAAGTTGTTAGAGCGAATTTGAATCTAAATGTACAATAAAATTGTGCAACTAATTAGAATCTTGCGCAACTGCAAAAGACGTTGACCGATAAAACGTTGAACTCGAAAATGTCCGCCTGCAGCATACGAATATGGTATTTCAATATATTTCGCCATATTTAAACAGGTTACGAATAAATAAATTATAAAGATGAATTAGATACTGAATTAAGATTAGATTAATAATTCTCCTCAGCGTTCGATCTTTGAATTAATAATTAATAACAAACTAAAGAGTAATTTCATACAATTGAATGTCATGGTAGTAAACCATCGTGATATTCAATAAACTGTTAAGAAAGTCTTAAAAATTAGGTCATAAACTAGAATTAGCCCATAAATCAACAAATAACGGTTATTAAAAAATTTGCACCTTATAGTTTGTAGTTGTATAAAAGACGACAATGCTAAATACAACAGTCATCGTCTTGAAGTTCCTAGTTGTTTAGTACCAAACGTAAGCACATACCTAAAGACGTAATTTCCAGACATTCTGCTTGCAAGTAACTGCATCTGTAAGTATAATTTACAAAACCAAAATTCACGAAAGTAGTTCGATCCAAAAACAGAAATCTAAAAGTACTAGTGACCTTCTTTGTGTATTCTCTGTCCGCTGTCCCCGTGTGGATGGCTGGCTGATGGCAGTAAACGAATGCGACGAGCTGAGGACCGGGCGAAATGGCGCGCATTAGGAGAAGCCTATATCCAGCATTGGACAGCGATAAGATAATGATGATTATGAACTAACAAATAAAAACATCGTTCTACTGTAAAATTTCAAATTAGGGCGTTGTTTGGGCCGTATTTTTGGGCCGTAGGTTTCTATATATCTGTCTAGTTTTGACTAAATTAAAGTTGCCTTAGATATTGTTTGACAAAAACACAGGCCTCGTAAATGTATACCCGCTCACGCGATACATGCAGCCGTGGACGCATGCCGCCACAGAGCGTTGCGCGATTCATGCGTCTCTGGAAGCATACCACATTTAGAGGTGCCGGTGATGATTTTATACCGATGTATCGGATATCGAAGTTATAACAGGTAAAAGAACTAATATTAATTGCTATTTCGGTAAATACTCTAGCAAACCATAAAGCTTTTAATGCCTAGGTCTGTCATTTAAAAAAAATAAACAACGTCAAAAATACGTCACGACAATCGTGTGAGTGTTATTGTTTGGGCTGTAGATTTCGGTGTTTATTTATTGAAAACATACCATAAGTAGCGTTTTTTAAGTTTACCCTGAATATAAATGTTTATAAACTATACTTTAAGGAGTAATTTCATGGTAAACGTTAGAACCACTCAAACGGAATATTATCATATTTATCCAAGTACACCAAAAATTTCATTTGTGCTTTTTAAGTGCAGGATTTGCGGTGTATTACTGCATTTTATTTGAGATGTTTTTGTTGGTAGTACGGAGGGTATTTATTTAGCAATGCAGAATAATAATTTTTATTTATAAAAACTTGTATTTACACTGAATGCTTTTCTAATTTGCGAAACCAGATAGCCGCCATTTTGCGGTAGGTTTATCCTATCCTTTAAGGGCCGTGTAGGTGGGGGCAGCGCATCGCGTGAGCGGATACATCGATGGTAGGGTTTAATATCTTCAGTTTTCTAATGTAAGGTACGCAAGTCTCTCGATGACCCACACCATACATAGCCCTGACACATTTCTTAAGGGTTTTAAATAGTCGTAAAATATGGGTTGCAACAACGTTTTCCCAACCTTACTATAGCAATATTTACTGTAGCACATATATCCAGCTAAGTAATATCAATAATGCTTAACGCGCAGCAGATGTAGTTACTAGACGAGAACCGGTTGAAAGTAGACTCAGCAGGTCTAATGGAAAATGGCAAATATGCGAGATACGATAAGAATGCTACATATGCGCTTGCACGTATCTGGTTTCTTACATTGTGTTAATTGGATTATTCATTAACAGTAACACATTTATAATTGAAGTTTCTTATTCGTGTGTGATCACTCATGCAGTTATTGTATTTGCTATTTATTTAGTTTTTGGAAATTGGAAATTTTACCTCTCGTAAGTGACATGAAACGGAATTGACTCCGTGTTAACTGTTGCTTGCATTTATCTCTTACCACGAAATGTTTTTTTATTATTATTGTCCATATATATTAGTCAGTGGCGAGCCATGAAAATAGTTGTTAGTAAACTCGGAGCAAAACGAAAATGAGCATTATTGCATTCCGGTTTTCAAGGGTAAGAGAGTGCTGGTGAAATTACTGGTACACGGGACTGGTCAACTTATTGTCTCCGGTTGACGTATGCAATGCTCTTCAGATCTTTGCGGTAATACGACGCACGTGTCGCTTTCCACCAGGCGCACGACTCGTTCATCCCGTTTTTTGGTATCATAATAAAAGTGTCTTTAAAGAGGTAAGTTTGTTAAAATCGCCAGGCAATGTTGTGTGTAGTTTACATATGTTAAAATTTAATATAATTAGACTAAACTTTTGGTTTTACCAATTTGTCTACTATCTCTTTTAACTGTAACTTTGCTTTTTATTAAAGTTTGGGTAATGGTTGTTTGTTGGCAATATTGAAGTGTGTTGTTATTTTGCGCCATTACAATTTATGGATCGTTTTTTTTACTGTAGCAACACGAGTTCTTCAAAAATATTTAGACGTTATGTACGTCTAATTATATTTAGACGTACATACAGTTAACCTAAAATATTGTTTAGATTCATCTAGCCAAGTATTTTTTCTACTTTCTCACCCTGATTCTACCTTCTAACAGTTCTATTCTATTCTATTCTACGATTCTACATTCACATCTAACAGAGCGGTAGTAACGAAATCCATATTCCATATTTCTGAAATCCATCCATCCATATTTTTTAAATTGAAATGCGGTTGGATTTTTTTAACTATGTACATTCCGAAACATTTATTTGTTTGAAAAACCAAATTAACGGATTTTGGGTCCGAAATACATAGTTTAATTTCTAACATGTAGCAATGGCAGAAATCTAAAAATCTCGACATTGAAATAGCATACAAAATTAAATACAGAACACAAGGTCCAGAGAAAGTTAACAAACTCAAAATATGCACTCGAGAAGACAAAAACAAAAGCCGTACGCACACGTGCTCGCGCACCTTGGGCAGCTGCGCGCGCAGCTGTCGGCAATCTCGCCCGCACCTTTCAGAGAGACCATAGCGATTTATTGTACTGCCTTACCTGAAAAAAAAAAAGGATTGTTGTTAATTGGCTTTAGATGCAAATAAGGTTACATAAGAAGGCTTTTAATCAACTTGTAATTGACATATGTCTTTTAAGAGGTTTATAAGTTCCGCGACTACCTTATTGATTTAGATAGATGCTAAAGTTATTCTTGTTATATATATCGTCAATGTTGTCAGCAGTGAAGTAGAGCACTTTAAAGTAGCAGTAGAGAAAGGCGAAGGAGTTCATCCAGGAAAGTACTGTCATCTTACTTATTTCCTCTGCCAAACATTGCAGATGTAGGTGAAATTACAGACACATGGAAATTGTCAACTTACGTTTTTTGTTTATAAAAAACAAGTTATAGCGTTCGGGAAATAAGTCCGTAGGAAGAGAATTCCACTCTCTAACCGCTCGCCATATAAATGGAAGAGAAACGCTTCGCACGAATCCTGGGAATATCCACGACATAGGGGTGGAACCCCAGCCTACGACTAGTCCCCCGATGATGGACCTTTCCATCGGGAAAGAGGAATTAAATTATGCAATTCCATCGCACACTTTCTGTCTCTCCGTTACGTATCAGGGTGACGGGTGCAGTGGCAGTCCCATTCAGATCTTTGTGATTTAAAGCGCTGAGTGGTACTGCAATTGATAACAGTTAATAACAGGCGGCAAGTGACACGCCTGTCTTTATGGACTGTCCGTAAAGACAGGCGTGTCACTTGCCTCCAACAGCGCGTCTTGTTCGGCCCGTCACTTTGTCTCATAAAAAAAATTCTTATATAAAACCGAACGTCATTGTTACGTATTTAATGTAAAGATAATCAAACGCAAGACCGTTTCCATATTTTATAACTCTTTATGGCGATAATTGTGCTTTGAAAGAAACGTCAAAAACAGGATGTAAGTAACTTAAAAACATTTATTAACACCTTAACCAAAAGTGTATATCACTAAGATTACAGAATAATCGTATTTACCCCTTTTATTCCGAGTGGTAATCATTAGAGCGTACAGTTACAAACCTTGCAAAGTATACGTAAACAATATAGTAAGACAACGTGACGTCGCACTCTTGGTGCTTTTATCACACGATGGTTTGAAAATGATATGACTACAAGAAACTAAAAAAAAATTCGTAAAATTTCGTAACTCTCGTACGTAAGCATAAGGAAGTTATTGACTAATTTCGTTCATACAATTTTGAACTTTGTCTTACGTATTTTACAGATGTAGCCTCATTTATTACACATTACAACACATTATAATTTTAAGTTCTTCTGTTTTACGCTGGTACGAAACCTGCAGGATGGAGAAAATTCACAAAACCTTTTACAGGGTGCCAAAAACAAAAATGTTTCATGGCGTCAAAGAACCGTTTTGTTAAAAAAAATCAATTCGCCAAAAAAAATTTTAACAAATATTAATTTTCGTTTTGAATAAAAACTCGAAAAATCATCACATTTTTCTTATTATTATTTTTAACGCACACACTCATTGCCCCGCATTAGGACAACCATGTGTTGCGGGTACCATGGACTCACACATAAACAACCACAAATTACACCTAAACTCACGAGAGAAATAAATGTAGGCCATAGAAATGTTCCAGAGGCATTACAATTCAATCGTATGTATAGGTCCTACGCGTAGTCCACCCGTTTTCCAAATGTTGTACTCGATACACTTTTTAACAAGATGTATATCGTCCCCGTCAGTGAGAGAGGTATTGTTACTAAAAATGTATGTACTTAAGTAACTTAGGAATTTAAAGCATAAGGTACGTTCCTAGGCAGATCTTACCAATTTGTCTACGTGCTTGCTGCAGTTCTTTGTATTTGGGTTTAAACGCTTGTAACGGGTAACCTATCACAAACGTATGTCACAAAATACGAAGAAATAACGTTTGATCGTATTTTCATTACCTCGAAAACCGAATTATAACGAAACCGCTGTTCTTTCATGATATGTTGGATGTTTACCGCAAAGACACGATTAGGTTTGGTTAGTTAGGTTAGATAGTAAAGAAAAAACATTTTCCTCTCGAAGTTAATTTCGAGGTTATGAAAATTCGAGCAAACGTTAGTTCTGGAAAATATCATTTCGGACTTCTGATAAGTAACCCCTGTAACGCCACCTGTGAGAATTTATGATCAATCGGATCGACAGAATTTTTCTTTGAGTTAGTTCCATCTTTGCATCAAAATCTTTTTCTTTAAGTTTTTTTTAAGTATGTTATCATTTGTTTCCTTTTTTACTAGATCAGGCGATTTGTTATAATTTTTGTGGACATGACGTGTGGGTTACAAGAATGTAGGGTCATTCTAGATCTAGGTGGAATTAATCTATTTTTGTGTCGTTACACATATTTTGATGGCATGTCTTGACAGCGTTTCATTAAATGGCAACAGACATCGGTCTATTAGCATCAGCTAATTATGACAAATCTATTTCATATAGCAAAGTTAGTTTCCCAAAAATGGTGCAACAGAACGAAAAGTCTTGCACTTGGTGCTATCACCTATGTGTCACGCCTGTCTATAGCAATTACAGTGCCACTCAGACCTTTAAATCGATCGATTAAGATCAAAGATTTAAATATCACTAACACTGCGCCTGTCACCCTGAGACATAAGCTAACAAGTCTTGCGCAGAAGTCAAGTCTGTAATTTCATCAGCAGCTTTACCCTACAAAACCGGAACACAGTAATGCTGACATTACTTTCCTGGACGAACTGGTTCACAAGGACCTCGACTGCTACAAAAAGAATAATGAAGGTGATAAATGCTCAATGTACTCCCGCGACCTGGGAAGACTATCTCCTTAGAGTTATTTACTCATTCTACTGATTACATAATGACACCGTAATCGTAATCAAGTTATCGCCACCTAATGATATATAATTTGTTTCCGAGTGGTAATCGCGACATCTTGGTAATTTCATGTTGCTGGCTGGAGTTAAGAAGCTTCTTTTGTTTAGGTGTATTGTTTTCTTACGCGGTAACGTTGTAACTGTATTTTTAAGAATAGCTAGCTGTCCGCGTTAATAACTCCACCTCAAGGATAGGAATCAATTTCCTTTATAATATTCACACCAATAATAAGAGTTAATGGTATAACCCAGGGGCACAGTGGTTTCTTTTGAGTTGGTCAACTTTTATTTGTAATTAGAAATAAGCTCCCCGTGAGACGAACCATTTATCTTCCCTGTACGTCTAGCGCACTCCGGGCAACAAACAGCGAGATTCTTACGTCGATGCGCAAGTCCTTTCACCACCATGGCAGACATGTGCAATGGTTTCGGGCTGAAAGTGTATGCTATCCATGTGATTTTTTAAAATATTATTTTTAATAAAGCTTGTGACACTTTGGTGTCAATATCAACCTTGTGATGTCAATCCCTGTGGATTATATTATTCCACTACATCGTGTCGCCTCGTAGTGAGAGACAAGACCTCACATATGAGTATAGAGTTTTAGCCCATGTCGCGAACGGTTCACCCAACACGACATTTAACTCCCCAGCCTACCAAATATCCCCAAATTGAAATTGGCTTCTCAGATCCACATAATGTTACAGATTCCACTCTTTTTATTAGATGGTACAACTTATTTAAGGGAAGGTAACCAGTACGCAGTCTTAAAGCCGAGACCAATGCATTTCTAGAAAACTATATGGTCCATGCGATGAGAAGAAGAATACCTAAGGAAAACATCGTTTAAAAGTCTGCAGAAGGTTCACAAATCCTGGGAATTGTGTGATGTCCACAAGGCATTAGGCTAGCGTTGCGGCCTATGAATTAAACCCTAGATAACACCCGTGTAAAGCAAACTGCCTTCGTGGCCGAACGGTTACCATTCTGATTTGCCACGCAGAGGCCCCGGTTTCGATTCCCGAGCCGGGAGAATTTGTGTGACCTGAATTTGTTTTTCTCGTAAGTTTGTGTGTAGCCATGGCATTACGCACCCGAGATACAGGGTTTCCTCATGCGCCTGATGGTAGGATGGTAAGCTACACGCCTGTCCATAACAGTTGCAGTGCCACTCAGCTCGCAATCGCCAAGACCTGAGACATAAGTTGACAAACCCCATGTGCCTGTAATTTCACCAGCACCCTTACCTTCAAAACCGGAACATAGTAATGCTGACATTGCTGCTTGGCGACGGAAATAGATAAGGTGGCAGTACTTCCCTCGACGAACTCGTTCATAAAGAGCTCTACTGCTACTGACTATAAATATCGCACGATTGATGTAATAATGTCACATTTGCGAAATGACATATTTTCAGGAAAGAGGTTTAAAGGTTCTACGAACGAAATTAATATTTTTATACTTAAACAGGAGACTTTGAAAATTTCCCACGTACGTAACTTATTTCATGTAGTACGTATTATTTTTACGAATTTCATGCCATAGAAGGACGTATGATCACATGTTACTTGTTACAGACGGCCGTATGCGGCTGGCCGGTCAGAACAATATGAGTAGAATTACATAAATAATTCAGGGGCTTTGATTGGTCTGGCGTAGTCCGCTGCGCATTGATAGGGCCAGTACGTTGTGGGAGACGTCGTATCGGCATTATAAGAGAATCTTGTAAGATTTGTTGGTTCACTTTCATTCTTATTCAATATTCCGATCCGAGTTGTTTTTCGATTCTTCATCTTGTAAGTCAGATGGACATAGAGATAAGGTGTTCAAATAACTTTTTATGAAAATGTACACAGTCCACTTTCCTAAGTTTCAATAAACCGGAAGATTTACGTTATACAAAGTTTTATTGAAGAAAATGGCAATACCGAAGTAAGTCTGGCCTGATTCAAGGCGGATTCAGCTGGGATCCAACAGTTTCTGGTCCTTCGAGCCGGATAGGGCTGGGAAACCAACATGACTTATATACCTTTGATATAACTTATATATGAGCTTAAAAGTTACAGATCAAACTTTAAACATTTCCCTTGAAAAGTTGTCATTATGCACATATAGTGTTATTTCGCCAATGGTGCAAA